TTAAAAGTGTATTACATTAAAAGCCACATTATCATCAAAATAACCCTCCCAAAATAGTCTCCTTTAGTCAAATGCACGTATTCCATTGTTCTTGCCACTTTCTGAAGCAGTTCTGGAAGTCCTCTTTCATGTGTGTCTGTATGGTTTTTTTTTTTTGGCGGAACCGGGGATTTTACTCAGATACTTGGGCTTGCCAGGGAAGCGCTTATTCCACTGAGCTATCTCCCTGGCCCATGTGTGTCTGTATGTTGTTGTACTATTATGGCTGCCTCACCTGATCAAAACATTCACTTTTCATGTTTTCTTTTTTTGGTATTGGGGATCGAACTCAGGACCTTGCTCTTGCCAAGTAGGCACTTAGGCTGCTGAGCATTCTCCCCTACCTCATTCGTGGTCATTTTATCTTTGGGGAATAGCCAGAAGTTGCAGTGTTAGATGCCAGTTGAGAATAAGGTGTATGAGAACACATCATGACCTTTTTTTGGGGGAGGGGCTTAGCCCACCCCGGGGGGTGTATGAGAACACATCATGACCTTTTTTTGGGGAGGGCTTAGCCAACCCCGGGGGTGGGGGGGGGTGCTAGCGCGGCATGTGGTGCTGGGATCAAACTGCAGTCCCAGCACCTGCTTAAGCTGGCCTAAGCAGACGCTTTAGACTGCTGAGCTATCTCGCTGGCCCACATCATGACGTCTTTACAGGCTTGTTTTTCTATTGGATGACCTCAGCAGCCACAGCAGCATTCATTGTATTTTTCATGTTCCAACCTAGAGACAAGAAAGGGCTTTCAGAACTACTTAAGAATGTGGCAAGAGCAGTGGGATAACTGTCTGAAGTGAGAATATTTTGTGGGAGATCAATAGCAGTATCTTTTACTATAATACTTTATAAATTTTCACTATATATTTTGATAACACCTTGTATATATAAATACTGAAAGATGTAGTTTGAAGATTATTAGTGAATGGAACTTTTTAAAACTAAAACTTTTAGCCTTTTGATCTGTATTATGAAAGTATAGTTTAGCATTCTTGTTATATCCTCATCAGACTATACCAGGTGGTAGTTAATTTTAAAGATTGATTATTTTCGCAGTTTAAAGGTATACTTCACTTGAGTCTGTTTCCTCAGTTTAAATATACTATTCTGTTCCCGTTAGCCATTATTGCATACAGTAGTGCATCCAAAGAGCCATTATTTTTGTCATATCACAGTTGAATCTACTCCTGGCAAGACCTTTGTTCAGAATAAAATAATTGCATTGTTTCTAGTTTTGATTTATGGTTGTATGTAACATGTTAAGAACTGTGATAAATTGCTGACAGAATATCATATAATGGACAGCCACACTGAATCAAGGTGCTTATTGGTTCAGCAAGGTTCATTATGTCATTTTTTTTAATACTTCCTTTGATAAATGCATATACCTAGTCAGTAGCATGACAGTGGTTTCACTTGATTTATGATCGGTGGGGATAGAAAGCAGTATTAGAAGCTTGTATGTCACCTGTATAGTAAAGATTTAAGGTAAAGTTCTTGATGTGATTGTACTGTTATAAATTGATTTTTTTTCTGGATTCTGTATTTTTTAAGTTTGGTACTTCATTCATCTTAGACTAACTTCATTTTTCTAGAAATATTTTGCTTCCAAAAAAACCTTAGATTTTACAATTTTTCTTGTATTTAGATCTGCACACATTAAATGTTATTTTCAATCTTTTCAGTTCTTACATTTCATTTGTTCACATTAGTTGAATTTGAAGACCGGAGTGTAGTGACTGCTCTCGTAGCATTGGTAACCTATATAGTTTTTTTCTTGGTGGTTGATAGTTAACATGCTAGTATTTATTAACTGTATGTTTTAATTATGGAATGTTACAGAGATGTCTTACCGCATCCTGGTGCCTCTCCACTTTTTTTTCCTGTGGTGCTGGGCATCAAAGCCAGGGCCTCCCTCATGCGTGTAGGCAAAGTACTGTAGCACCAAGCTATTTCAGCCCCCACTGCACTTTTTATAGTAATTTTTCAGGGCTGAAAATACTAAGTTAGATTAGAATTGCTTATTAATTAAAAATAACAATCAATTATGAAATTGAAGTATGGTTTTCTTTTTAAATAACATGTTAGGTATTCAAGGAAATTGTTTTTGCTTGCTTGTTTTTTCATGAATTTGGTGTTTCTGGTCTACAAGAAGCATTATACTTACAAATAAACTAAGTGTTTTGCTTGCAGAAAATTTTAAGATCTGTTACAAAAATTTTTGTGGAAATTTTAATGTTGCAAAAAAAGCATTATGAGGAAAATAATAGACACTTTTGGGGGCAAAATGGTTTTTAAAATTTTCTCAAAAGATGAACTTTTTGTCTTGAAAGTTTAGTGTAATGCAAGTATTAGCTTTGCCGTAGAGCAGAATACGCTTCTTGGCTTCAAATTTTGAGTTTGTGTGCCACCGGAAGTAGTTAAACAGCTTGGTGATGATGGCTGCCTCGTTTTTTTCTGGGAGGACTTATTCATTCTAACATTTGGGAAAAAGTGAAGCTTTTTAGGTTTGTGAAATGAAACCTGCCAAAAAGACAGTCACAGAAAAATAAATTTGATTTTTTTTTTATATGAAAAACCAGGTTACTGAAAGGGTTCTTGAATTTTATGACTTTATTATCTTTTTTTTTTTGGTTTTTACTTTTTATTCTAATGTCTCTAAATGAAATAAGCAGGTTGTGGGAAATTGGTTATTTTAAGTTTTCATTGCAAAAAACAGAAACAACACAAAACAAAATAGGTTTTCAAAAGTGCTTCTACTAGAATGTACTTTTGTAGGACATTTGATAAAGTAAAACAATGTTCGGGTTTGCTGTTTTTTTGTGTGAATTACTTGGTTTGAATAACTGTAATATCTTAACATTGGTACGTGTGTTTGGGATTTTGTTTGGGAGTGAAATGCAGTTTTCTTAAAGTAGATGGTTTTTAGCAGGTTTTGATCTCTCCCCAAGGTCTACACACTCTCAGTGTCTGGAGACCGGCTGATTGTGGGCACAGCAGGCCGCAGAGTGTTAGTGTGGGACTTACGGAACATGGGCTATGTGCAGCAGCGCAGGGAATCCAGCCTGAAATACCAGACTCGCTGCATCCGAGCATTTCCAAACAAGCAGGTACTGACCTAGTCTTCCTTCCCTTCTTTGGAAGTTGAAAATAACACGGTCCTTTATAATGATTTAGCTAGTTTTTGTTTTGAGTTTTGATATAGACTTTGCTGTTAAGTATGTTTTCACTTAATATTTTGATAACCTTTGTTAAAAGATAATAATCCCTGTTTTAGGAAAGAGCTTCACATCTTCACAGGATCACTCGGTGGATTGAATAAAGTCATGATTTGTTGATCCTAGTCCATAATGTTTATTAGGTTTATTTTATCAAAAAGTTTTGAATATAATTAATTTTACAAACTAGTAAATTAAAGCTTAAGTTCAGAAATTTAGGCTTATACAATTTACTGTTTTCTTTTTGCCTTTTTATAATCCTAATAATAGTCATTTCCTCTGACTATAAAACTTCGATTAAAAAAAAACCTCCATTGAGGTTAGCTAAGGCAGTGCCCCTCATCTAATGAGTAACTCTTGATGTACAGAGTGAGTCTCTTTCTATTATCATTGAAAGAGATGAGTAAATTTATTTATTTATTTTAGATTAGTAAATTTATTAGTGAACTATTTCTGTTTCATCTTTAAAGTTGTAAGGAGGAGTTGTTGTTATGGTGAGCTGCACCAGGAATTTCCTCAGAGGAAAGGTCATTAAAAACAGCTTTTAAAACATGTTTTAAAGTGTGGCTGCCTTTTAGTGACTGTGGGATGTAAAGCAGTTATGCCACTTATTATTCTCTTGGCTCTGTATCTCAAATGATGACAGTTTTTTTTTTAGGAATTTGTAAATTTCTTTTGATAGGAATTGTAGTTATGTGAAGTTAAAGATATTTCAATACAGTATGCGATTCAAATGTGTTTGCATTGTAAAAATTATTTTTATGTTTATAAACATTTGTATACTTCATATTGGAAGTTTAAAATAGGGTTTCACTGAATATTTTTTTCTAAGAGTAGTTTTTAGAAAACAATTTTCATATGTTGAAGGATAAAAATATAAAACATAGATTTCATATTCAGCAAGTTATGTTACTTTTTTTTAAAAAAAGTATGTTATCACTTAAAGGCAAGATAAAAAGATTTGAAAATGTAAACCACTCTTAATGATTCCCAAAGGTCTGTGTTGTGTGCAAACCTGATTAGTTGTAGTAAGTGTGAGGGAGAATGACTGAGATGGAAGGTTGGTGTTGAGCTCAATTTGGATTATTGATGCTCCTCGTGAAGAAAACAGTTCTTACAGTTGTTAGAGAGGAAGAGGCCTGGAACACAGAATAAAGAAATTTGAGTCCTCTTCCGGACAGGAAACAAATGAATGATACTGAAACACTCAAAAATTTTGTTCAAGTGTAACAAAGTAAGTGGACACTTTTCATTATAATGGTTAAAGTACTGGTACAAGGAAGAAGTGATAGATTTATGTCTCATAAACAGGTATTAATACTTGTAAATAAAGTTTTAGAGTTGTCAGTGCATCTTCAACACTTCACTGAAGTGTGGTTGTCATTTCTTTTTGTTTCTGAAATAACAGTCTTTAGTGTGGATTGAATTTGGGAAGTAGTGCCTTGTTTTGGGAGCGGGGTTTTACCGTTTTTGTGTTCTGGTTCCCTCTCGGCAGGGTTATGTATTAAGCTCTATTGAAGGCCGAGTGGCAGTTGAATACTTGGACCCAAGCCCTGAGGTGCAGAAGAAGAAGTATGCCTTCAAGTGTCACAGGCTAAAAGAAAATAATATTGAGCAGATTTATCCAGTTAATGCCATTTCCTTTCATAATATCCACAATACATTTGCCACAGGTAAAATATGCCCTGCTACTAACCCATATCTACTTTTTAAGACTAGAGGATTTTAAAAATTATTTGAACACTATTGGTGCTTAAGCAGAATTATTTTAAAATTTATGCTTTGTTTTAGATAGGGAAAAGGACTTCTTGGGGAAAATGTAACTTCTGTGATCTTAAAAATTAGCTGCTATGGTAATAGTTATTTTTGAATCTGATATTAAGAACTATTTCAACTGTTTTGGAATTACTATAGGCGGTTCTGATGGATTTGTAAATATTTGGGATCCATTTAACAAAAAGCGACTGTGCCAGTTTCATCGGTACCCCACCAGCATCGCATCACTTGCTTTTAGCAATGATGGGACTACGCTTGCAATAGCATCATCATATATGTATGAAATGGATGACACGGAACATCCTGAAGATGGTATCTTCATTCGCCAAGTGACAGACGCAGAAACAAAACCCAAGTGAGTATGCTTCACCTGTATTTGAGCCTTTTCTTGCATTCAACCCAGGATTTATTAATTTTTCTAAATTCATGAATAGCATTGTTGATGCCTGCTTGATATTACAGCTGACTGTAGGGCTGGAGTTGATTTTATCTTGTTCTCCCAAGCTTTCAATATCCGTAGGTTGATAGATGTCTGATGGATAAAATTGTGCCTAGTTGTTTTGTTGAGAAGAATGTCAAACTCTCATTCTTCTTGAATAGGCTCTATTATTTGAAATCTGGAGTTATTACTAGCTCATTGCTTCAAAATTAAGTTGAGAATTCAAGAATAATTTATTTTAGTAAATTCTGTTTAAGATATTTAAGAATTTGAACTGCCAAAAATCTTTCCTGTCTACAGAGGTTGTTTCTATAATATTTACACAAAAATGAATGACCTTCAGGTCTTACTGGAAACCTAGAATAATATGGCCTTGTCTAGAATAGTGAATTTCCTTTTGAAATTTTCATAGCTGTCTTTGGTTCTTGGCTGTTAACTGTTGACTGAGAGAAGCCATTTACATTTTTTGATATCAGCAGAGCTGAGCTTTTTACTTAATTACCTCTACCAAGCTTGTGGGAAGACGGATACTTAGGCACATTTTATACTGTACAGTGTCTTTCCCTAAGTGTCTGTCAGTTGCTTGTCCTCCCAGCCAGGTTCTTGAAGGAAGTCCTTAAGACATACTTGTGGAATTCCTGGATGTTTTGAGGACTCCTATATTTCCTTAAACTAAAATAGCATCATGCCCTTGATAAGTTGATGGAGGCTCCACAAGGGGCAGAGTATTAAACATTCAGTATCACACGTGCTTTCCCAGGGTTTCTTAGAAAAGTCTTAACATGTGAAGCCTGTGAATAAAAGGCTATGTTTGCATTTAATCTGTCACTTTTGTATCTCTTGTCCTGGCCAGCCATTTTGATCTCATGCTGTTCTTTTTTCTTTTGAACTTGTAGGTCACCATGTACTTGACAAGATTTCATTTACTTAAGTGCCATGTTGATGATATTAAAACAATTTGTACTCACCAATGGTGAATTTATTACTATTAAGAAAGAGACCAGGGAAAATATTAATCTTAATATTATAAGAACTTGAAAATAATGGAAAAGAGGTTTTATTGATTTTTAAGAAATAAACACTTTCATAAGTGCATGAGATGGTTTGATGATTTGTTGCACTAAAGGTACTGGGGCATACAAAATTAGAAAGCAGTGACTACTTTTGAGAATCAGTTTTGACCTTGCTGATTTTTGTTTCTGCTGTGGAAATAAATGTTTGTAAATAAATAGAGGTAATAAAAATCCCTTTGCATTCTTTGTGGACCTTAAATGGTAGAGGAAAAGACTCTTGAGCTATTTATTTCTTTTGCTGGTTATAGTTGCCAATTCTAAAGCTGCTTCAGACTGCCTCATGAGGAGGTTAATCTACAATTAAACAATATTTCCTCTTGGCCGTCCATTATTTTCTGAAGCAGATGGTTCATCATTTCCTGGGCTGTTAAACAAAGCGAGGTTAAGGTTAGACTCTTGGGAATCAGCTAGTTTCAATCTTATTAGGGTGCAGAAGGAAAACTAATAAGAAAACCTTCTAACATCATTTTGTGACTGTAAACAATTATTTATTAGCAAACAATTGATCCCAGAAGGGCAAATTGTTTGAGTCAGTAATTAGCTGAGAAAAGACAGAGCATATCTGTGTATTTGGAAAAATAATTGTAACGTAATTGCAGTACATTTAGGCAGGCATCTATTTGGACCTGTTTCTATCTCTAAATGAATTTTTGGAAACATTAATGAGGTTTACATATTTCTCTGACATTTATATAGTTCTCATGTCCATTTCAGTTGTCCAGCCGCTGGTGATTAAGGTTAAAAAGAAAAAAATTATAGTGAGAGTGAAATTCATTTTGGTGCAGTGCCTTAAATCAGCATGCAAACTTAGCTTGGCCTAGTCAAAATAATTCTACATGGTATTTCTGTTGTCATGTTTTGTTTTTAATGTACATTATTTGCAAGTATATGTCTCTGGAGAGGACTTAGATGTTTACTGAAATTTATTTTTGTCCATGGTATATTTAAAAAAATATTTTGATACAGAGAAAAATTTTGCTTTCATTTTTTAAAGTATTGTAGCGAATAATTAGTGTAAGTGAACACATCTTTTGAAATGTGTTTTCTTCATTGCAGGTCCACCTAATCATCTCGTGAAAGTGGTTTCTCTATGGAAAGCTTTGTTTGCTTCCTACAAGTGCATGCTTATCCCCTAAGGGATGTGTTGTAGTTACTATGGCCCTGTTGTTTAGTATGTGAATTTTTCTGTTTTCTGTCTTACAAGAAATTTGTCTTTATGTTTTTTAGTATCTTGCTTAGGATGGGAAGTGTGTGTCCTTGTGCAGTAGTCTGAAGAATTTCCCCACCTCTTCCCTAGCAAGCTCAGTTGCTGTTTATGTGCAGTTGGGCTCTTTTTGTAACATAATCTAAACCTTTTTTCCCTTGCTGCCTAATAAAGCAGAAATTCAGAACCCTTTAATGTTGGATGTTGTTGAACATTAGTAATTAATGTAATTTATTCTTAAAATGGCTTCTGTAAACCAAAAGTTTTCATCATGTGTGTATTGAGGATGGCATTCTACCTTCAAAGTCTACTCTGTCTCATTTAATTACGTCTCTGATATAAGTTAGGATTTGGTCCTGGATACAGTGATCTGTTGGCACTCAGCCGTTTCCCTTGTGCCCCTCGGTGGATCCGCAGGGCTCTGGAGCCAAGCTGCACAGCTTCTCTCAGGACAGGCGTGGAGTGGCAGCCTTGGGGAACCTTTTGGCAGGATGCTGTCCTAGTGGTGCCAGTGTCATGGAGCACACATAGCGCGTGCATCTCCGTGCTGATGAAGTCATTGTCCACATGCAGAGAGCCAAATGACAGGCTGTTCTGGATTAACCATCAAATGCTAAATCAGAATGAAGCCCTCGGGATGGTGAATAACGTAATAGCCAGGGACTAACTGATGGTAGAGGTTCTTCAGTGTGATTGTATGCTTTTAAATGTTACAACCACCTCGTTGAGGACATAGTTTAAATTTAAAAGCATTGTGTAAGTGAAATAATATGGTTTTGTTAAAAATGACCAAATTAAAGCTATGTTTTGGACCTTTTTTAAAGTTGTGTGGAAGAGCTTTTATGGGGTTCCATCTGGGTGGCCTCTTGTGTTCTTGAAAGCAAATGCACCTCCCTGTTTCTCATGTGTACCATTTACGAGTATAGCTACCTTGGCATTTTCATTGGTTTCCTGTGTTCATATTTATTGTCTTCTGTTTTGCCTTTTGTTTTTCTTCCTGCTGCTACTGTTTCATAGCTGTCTTTCTAGTTCTCCAGATGTGGTTACTTTGGCATTTTGTTGGTTTCCTTTATTCATGCTCTTTAAGTCTCACTTCTGTTCAGCTTTCTTTGCTTCCTGCTACAGTTCCCCTGGCCTTCTCAGTGAATGCTGCAGCCTCCAGCCCAAGCCCTCTTTCTTATAGAGGAATGATTTTCCAACATTTTATCTGTGACCCAAATAGAAAATAAATTTTGAACCACAGTCCAGAACACTAAGTCAATATACTGTGTATAACAAATACAAATAAATGGTTCATAAGACATTTGCCCTTCTTGTATGTGATGTATCTGTGTGTGTTTATTTTAAATGCCGGTTATAGTGCCCTGAACTGATTTTTACTGCACATGCTTTGCCGCCTGTAATTTGCAGCAATTGCCCAGTACTTGGGGAAGATTTCTTCCACCGATTGTAGTGTTGGGGATTGAACTCAGGATGTCATGTGTGCTGGGCAAAACTCACAAATTCCATCTTAAGATCTTTGTTTTGAAACTAAGTTGCCCAGGCTGGCCTTCATATTGTGAGCCTCCTGCTTCAGCCTCTCAAGTAGTAGAAAGACATCTTCTCTTTTTAGATTGCTCTTGAGTCTTGCGTGGTCCTGTTCAAGGCCCAGTTTTCCACAAAGTACTCCATCTGTCAATGTACTCCGCTAAGTTTTTAAAGAACTCTTTAGCATCCTCTGCTGCTTAACTTTTTAGTAGTCCTTCAATAATTTTCTCAGAAGACATACTTCTTCTAGAGCCTTCAGATCATCAGGAATGGAGTATTGATTGTAAGTGGAATAGGAGCAGACCTTCACTGGGAATTCTGAGTAGATGAGGTGGGAATATTATGGTGGCAGCAATGTCTGGTTTTGAGTTTTTCTGTGTAGAAACTTAAAAATATATTCCAGGCCATCCTTTCTTCTTGGGAAACCCAGGCTTTATTATAAGGATTAATACCAAACTGCCCATTTGACTTTGCCATTCTACCTTTTCATTGTTTTGTCTTTTTGTCAAACTGTAGTGTTTCCTAAAGCATTTCATTTTCGGTGAAGAAAGGAATCTGGTAAAATAAGACTAGCTTCCTCCCCTCACCTGAGGGACCTCATACCTATTAGCTTACTGAGAGCTTGGAGATCTCCAGTGCTAAAGAAAAGCTCTTCTAAATTTAACTTAGCATCCCCCAGATTCCCTTGATAGGTCTGTTCTCTGTTGCTGTTGTATTGTACGTCTTCCTGTCATTTTACCTTTTTCATTTCTAGAAAGCATTAGAGTTCTGTTATCCTGAGAGGCTATTTCTCTGTGGTTCAGAAGCTCCTGTTGATCCTCAAGTTGTCAGTGTGCTTAGGCTTTTCCTCTTCCTGAATTGCTTCTTTGGGTTTTAATTTGAATCTTACAAGTTTCTGCACAAAGTCCTCTTCTCCGTAAAGTACTTCATTCAGGTTGCAGCTCACAAGTGTACGTGCCCTTTCTCAACACAGGTATGAAGTAGCTCCTCCTGTACCTTTTGGCAGTACGGACTGCCTGGCACTTTGGCATTTTTATATGTGCACATCTTACTCCCATGTTTGTATCAGGAACAGAGACAACATCTTGTATACTCTGACATGTGAATATTGTAATTAGACTACTGTAATATTGGTGGTTGACAATAGTCTCTTTTTTTTTTCTTTTTTTTGAGATAGGGTCTCACTAGGTAGTTGACTGACCTTAAAATCACTGTATAGCCCAGGCTGGCGTTGAACTGGTGGTCTTCCTGCCTCAGCCTTCCAAGTGCTGGGATTTTTTTTTTTTGTTTTTACTGGGGATTGAACTCATGACCTTAGGCTTGCCAGGCAGGCGCTTATGCCCTTGAGCTATATCCCCAGCCCCCAAGTGCTGGGATTGCAGGCATGAACCACCACACCTGGTAATATATGCCTGGTGATATATGCTCTTTTTTTTTTTTCCGGAACCGGGGATTGAACTCGGCCTTGTGCTTGCCAGGCAAGCACTTATTCTACTGAGCCATCCCCCCGGCCCCGATATATACTATTTTTAAAATTAATTTGAAATAGAATTTTGGCATGTAGACACTTCAGTGTACTAGATGTAATCTTTGGCTTTCTTAGTTCATAAGTAATTATAGAATTGATGCTCATTGTAGCAAAATTTTAGATAAAACATAAGAAACTATGTCATAATCCTGTTATAGGGGCTAAATTTTTTCCAGCTTCATTGAAGTATATTTGACAAGTTCAGTATATATTTCTATATAAATGTATACATATGCATGTATATCCATGCATATGCATATGTTAAGTTTATCTAAAATTAGATACTGTGTTTTACTATATGTGTGCATCATGAAAGATTACTAATAGCAAGTGAGTTAACATACTCATCACCTTATATAGTTACCCTTCTTGTTTATGTGTGTGGTGAGCATACTTAGGATATTCTTAGTAAATTTCACGTGTATAGTACCTTACTGCTAACTGTAGCCACCATGTTGAACATTAGGTCTTCAGAACATACTCATTTTATATGAGATAACTACTTATTAACATTTATTTATTTATTTATTTTGTTTTTTTTTTTTTTTTTTTTTTTTTTTTTGCGGAACCGGGGATTGAACTCAGATCCTTGCGTTTGCCAGTCAACCGCTTATCCTACTGAGCCATCTCCCCACCCCCTCTTATTAACATTTAGTTGTATGTCCTTGAGGATTTTCTATGCTGCTTCTCCATAAGTAAAAGCTTTCTTCACCATATGAAAATGGGTGGGAAAATTTAAAGATTTTTTTTTTTTTTTTGAGGTAATGAATGTGACCTATAGTATAAGCCATATGACCTGCATGACATTTGCTTTGCAGGAATATTGGGGGTGTATGTGAAGTAATGGGTGCCAGGTCACACCTTAGAACATCTGTAGCCTGAATTCTGTGACCATAACCAAGGGGTCTCATGGGGTCTGACCATGAGAATTCCTTTATATGGACAGAAAATGAGTTTATATTTGCACCATAGGTGATACTTGGACAGTTACTACAGATGGCTGATGAAAGTTTTTAAGGACAGCTGCTTACATGTGCTCTTGCTCTCCTGGCTGTTCCAGAAAGAAGAGCTGCAGGTGCCTATGTATTTATTGCCAAGATGGTTCTTAATAAAACTGTGATGAGTTCATACTGTACACAAGAATTTATAAAATTTGGGCTATGTAAGTATACTGCTTGATAGTATAGCATGAAAATTTGACCATAATTTATTTATTTTTATCTTATTTTTAATGGCCACCTAGTTAGAATTTAATGATTGACAAGTTCCTTTCTCACATTGGGTTTTGAATTTTGGGCATTGTGCTGCTAATTGACAGGTATAGATGATTTGAACATAGTGCAGCACATGATTATGTACCATAATGTGGCTGCATTTTGTTTTCAAGAATTTGACCAATGTTTGGTCCTTAAGAGCATCGCCCCATAGGTTAAGGTTAGTGGTGCTCTATATCTGAAGTCACCTAACTGGTTAATGTAGGCACTGGGACAAGCTAGGCACTAGGAAAAGCAGTTTGGACATGAAGCTTTCTGAGAATCTTCTAGAACTAAAGGACCATGTTTAACACCATGTCATATCTTCAATCCTCCTTAACCACAAAGCCTATCACTCTTCCAGAATTTGATAGTTTGTTGTATTAGGCAGTGTTGATGTAACATTGTAAATCTTGGAGTTGAGCCTTTGAATCTGGTTTCTACTCTTGACTTTACTGCTTTATTTTGTTTCACTAGCCAGATTAACTTGAGTCTTAGTTATTTTATTTTCATCATATAGATAATGGCTAGCTTAGGGAGTTATACTTTCAGGATGAACCACGTATCAGTCTGTTCTGTTTGAATGTAAAATAGTCCATCATTCTCTGATGAGATTAAACAGCTCACTTTTGTTCTAGATTTTTGTCATCATAATAAATTAGTGTGGTTCTAAGATAACTTTGATTCCTAAGTATGAAATATGCCAGTATATTGTCTTTTTTCCTTTTCCTTTTCTCCTTTCCTCCCTCCCTCCCTCCTTCCCTTCCTTTCTACAAGGTCTTGCTATGTAGTTGAGGTTGGCCTTGAACTCACTATGTAGCCCAGGCTGGCCTCAAATTCATAGGAATTCTACCTCAGCCTTCCAAGTACTGGGATTATAGGTATATTTGCCATGCTTAGTGACAGTAAATCCTTTAAAAAATATTTATGAACTATTTTAAACATTCAAGAAAATATAAGGTTGTCTCCATAGAATCACTAGAGTTTAAAATGCTTAGTGCTTTGCCATTTTCATGTTTTAAAATACTGTATACTTGAACTGTATTGTATTTCTTCGTTCTCCATTCCTGTTTTTCATTTTCTTAAGCATTATTCCTATTCATGCTTGTATACTATTTGTTTACATACAAACTTTGAATTTTGAAAGTTTGTAGAAAGTTGAA